AAAGCCACATTAACAAGACCCATCAGAACTGAATTGAGTAACGAGAAAACCAAGAGTAGGTTCCAGGAACAACTGAGGTCACACTCAGGTAGTTCTGAAAACGAGGCTGACCAAGATATTGCTTGCATAAATATACAATAGCTGCGGAAACAGCAGTGACATCTATTAATGATTTAAACCCCAGGGTTACAAAAAATCAATAGATTTCTTCCAAGTCTACTGCACTGACGGGTTCTCGTAAACTCATCCCATCACGTTCAGAAAACGATGACGAGCGAAAGCAAACCAGACCTAGGTTAACCAAAAGTCTAAGAGACAACCGTGAGCAGTGGTGAGAAACGAAAATAAAAGAGATGGAAAAGGCAACGGCTGTAGGTAAACCAGACAGCTTTCCAGACTAATAAGAAAAACTGGAATCAAGAAGTCGAGTGTAGGTGAAACTATCTCGGAAAAAGACGACACTTATCTGCTCTCAGCCCAGACGTTTAGAACGATGGGTGGAACACTTTAAGGAGCATTTCAGCTGGCCTTCATCTACCCACCATTCCCAGACAGCCTGAATGGAATATTGAAGTAGGTTCCCCGACTCTAGCTGAAGTTCAAAAGGCTATAGCCAATCTGAAACGGGGAAGAGCAGCTGGTCCATATGGATTGGCTCCAGAGGTCTTTGAGGATGGTGGTCCAGTTTTAGCGATTAGGTTGACTAATCTTTTGGCTACAATCTGGGAGTTGAAAGTAATCCCATCTGACTGGTTACATTCACTGATCGTCCCGATATATAAGGGGACAAAATCATCCTATGATAACCATAGAGGGATTAGTTTGACTGACATAACATCTAAAATACTAGCCTGAATAATTATCATACGCCTAACTAAGACTCGTGAACTGCAAACACGAGAAAATTAGACTGGCTTCGAAACTGTTCGCGGCTGCATCGACCACATATTCACCATTCGTCAGGCTCTAGAGCACAGACATGCTTATCAGTGTCCGATAATGTTGGTCTTTCTCGACTTAAAAGCAGCACTTGACTTTATTGACCAAGAGGTTCTGTGGCAATACAAAAGTACATAACTTTGTAAAGGCTGTTTACTCAAACAGTACTAATAGAGTGAAAGCTCATGACGAACTGTCTTGTGATTTTGTGACCTCAGGTGGTGTCTGTCAAGGCTGTTCAATATTTCTATTTGTGTTCAATATCATCAGATACCTACCGCTGGAAATAACGTTCTCGTCAAATGAATTTTCGAGCACTGATCACCTTGTAGCAACTTAAGTGTAATTTAGTTGGTTCACATTTAATTCGGTTAATTTATTTTAACTTATGAACGAACTGAGTCATCCGTACAACAACAACTTATCTATATCATTGTATCTTTATTATTGTTGTGAATATATGAACATGTATGCTTGCTGCTAGCCTTACTACTAACCACTTAATTGATTCATTCATTTCACTATGTATATATATGTCCATGTTATTCATGTTCATTGCTCTCTTTCACTTAAATGTACTCCCTTACTCGTACTCATATTCGCTGACTCACTCGCTTGCCTTTCGGTACAATTCTTTCATGCCTACTTAACGCACCTGTAATTTTGGATATCTGTGTGTGGTCATATAATAAACATAATCAACACTTCGTATTCGCCTTCTGATTAATATACCGTTGGGGCGTTATCTAGTGACGGTTATCAAGACGAACTGTATACGAAGTTTAAGAATTATATGGAATACCGACCACCACAACCTTCCAGGAGGTCTACTTATCGACTTAGAATTAGCAGATGACATAGTCCTGTCTGGTGAAGACGCTGATGGAATGCAGTCTTTTGGTAGCACTGAGCAACAATACCAAAATATCTGGGATGTGTTTCTCCCCCTCTAAATGCAAGTTGTTGCTTCAGGACTGGCCTTCGTCAACACCTCAACTAAGGATAGGGAGTGAATTCAGTCAGTCAGTCAGCTACAACGTAGGACCAGGCACATATGTGCATCGGTCCAGGTTGCCATACCACATCAGCACAACAAAATGAACACCGGATTCATAGCAGTGGTTATGTCAAAGGTGGTAATATATAAGAGAAAGATTGCATATAGAGATACAATACAAGAAGAAAGAATTGGTTCGTAGAAAGAAAGATATGAAGCGATTTTAATCTCTTACTTTAAGGGAAGACAGGGAGTGTATACACCGACGCCATTGTGATCGATTCTGAGCCATGTCACCAACAGTCTCCAACCATTGGTTACGATAGTCACGCGGACCCCAACCAAGTAGTCTGCATCTACCAACATGGCTCAGACTACAAGTTAGTGACTTCAAGCACTGGTGCCACGTTTTGGTTTGGCCGCCCCTAACTTTCTTCCAACAATCTCCAATACCGGCCGTGCGCGACCGGCCTCAAGCAGTTGTCCCTTGGGCACTGCGGTCACGCTCTCAGGTCACTGAGACCGCCTCTAATCCAATTTCCTTTTCAGGTACCTCCAGAAGAACCCTTCCACAGTGTGGGCAACCGGGAAGTGATAACCGCCCGCATACCTCTAACAGCACCCAAGGGAGTGAATTAGTCGACCATGTTGACATCTTCACTTATCTTGGAAGTCTGATCAGCTCTGATGAGTTGGTGTCTGACGAAATCTCAGCACGAATTCGAAAAGCTCGGTTGGCTTTTGCCAACTTACGTCACCTATAGCGAAGGCGGGATATTCATCTATCAAGGGACACGTATATTGCGTAGCAGTTCGTTCTATTCTACTTTACGGTCGCGAAACGCAGCCATTAAGAGTAGGAGATACTCGTAAGTTACTGGCATTTGATCACAAATGTCTTAGAAATATTTCTCGTATCTGCTGGAATCACCGGGTAAGTAATAATGAGGTTAGACGCAGGGTAGATCTTCCTCGACTGAGATGGTTGGGCCACGTGTTACGTATGCCTGAACACCCATTATCACAAAGCGCAATGACGACTAGTGTTGGAGACGTATGGAAGAAATTAGGGATGGCCAGATCAAAACGTGGCACCAGTTCATAAAGTCACTAACGTCTAGTCTGAGCCATGTTGGTAGATGCAGACTACGTGGTTGGGGTCCGCGCGACTATTGTAACCAATGGTTGGAGACTCGGCTCATAATCGATCACAATGGCGTAGGTGTATTCACCCTTTGTCTTCCTCTAAACTATGAGATTAAAATTACTACTTTTCTTTTCACGAACTAATTCCTTCCCCCTGTATCATACCCTTATATGAAATCCTTTTTACCACCACTGAATTAACTACTTCTATGAATTCGGTGTTCATCATGTTGTGCTAATAAGGTGTGGCAACTTGGACCAATGCATATATGTGCCTGGTGCTACATTTTAGCTGACTGATCATTATGGAGCAGGATAATGATACATGATTGCAAGAACGTCCAAACTGACCCTCTGTTTAAGCGATACTCAGACAACTTCCAAACTAAGAGCTCAGTAGTCAAACAACACTAGATAGGCAAACGAACTTTAAAGTCAAAAACATAAATTTCAAGAACACCATTAATTGTGAATTTCTTGGTAAACATAAAATCTTATGGCGTTGAAGTATGACAGAAATACGCGGACACAATCTTTGATGCCTTTTGCTTGTTAATGTAACCAATGAAATATCCGGAAATTTGGGTATGAAGCTTCAAACCACTAGAGTGGAAAATACGAATTTGGACCTGATTTTTCAAGTCTAAATTTTAAAACTGCAGTTTATTTATTTCATCCTTAACAAGAAGAGGCAGACGAGAGTGATGATGAGATAGGAAAGAGATCTCAATCAGTATTTGCTTTTTAAGCAGGGAGCGATAAAGACTGGGTCAATACTAGTGGGGTGTTGGTAAGCAGTATTACAGTAGAAATCTTATCCACCAAGTCATTTTTATTTGCATCATTTGAAAATAATACACTACATTTCTTTAATTTTGAAAGACATTGCTAAACTAGCAAAGAAATGAATATTACTGGTTGATAAAATTCAGTGACATATCACGCAATTTCAGCAATCAGGAGGAAATGTATTTAAACTTAACGTCCGGTTACTATATACTGATGCATACACTGAATTAAACTTATTTATCGGAAGTTTTATCTACTCGGATTCGAGCCATACTACTTGTGTGAAGTCTTGTAATATTACACGCTCGCCAAACTTGAAGCAGATAAACCAGGCTTTGAATTTATTACCTAGTGAAGTAGGGTACGTTCAGTGACAAACCATGTGTTAAACTAAGCCACACTGATTACGAGGAATAACGGTACTCAAGTGGTTCATAACTGATATGTTATGAAATATTTGATGATACAAGAAGTTCGGGGGATCATTAGTTTTAATACAAATATGGTTAACGGGTAGGAGCACGGATTTACTTACCGACTGACTAGCATTGAGACATTTTGGTGACCTTACACCCAACATGACGCTATAAAACCTTCCGTATAGGGGCATTTTCCGATGCTTTACCAAGTTAGGTGCGACACAAGGTAAGCCATTTTATCAGACAACAGTGAGTGGACAAAAGAGTGGTCTCGATTTGTAATAGGTTCGGCTAGTTAAAATGCAGGCGACTAAGTCTCGTCCCAACAATCAGACTTGATTATACTTAAAGTGAGCTTTATTGGTCTTTTCATTGACGCATGACGTTGACGAGCTAACACTACAGGCATTCCGAATAAACCCTTATGTCTAAAGTATTTAGCCAGCTTCAAACAATAACTGAGAGGGCCTACATAGTGATTCACTAGCACTTGGAGGTGATTTCCTTGGATATTAGTCGACAGGTAAGTAGTGAAACCAAGGGAAGTCACCTTGGCACAGATAAAGATCTGGAATTCATCAAATTTTGGATACTACCATTCTCCTAAAGAAACAGTCTGACCACTAGATTAGACACAGACATGTTTTGGTTGTGACCAGATATTTTTAAAATATGAATATTTACTCCGTAAATTAATGAAAACCACTAACCTCTGAAGTACCTCAGTCGTCTCATATTTCGGTGATTCATGATTATTGTCGGAAATTAAAGTCTGTATTGGTCTACAGAAAAAAGGTAAGCTTTTGCACTCAGTTACCTATCTTCTGTTACGTTGACAAGATTATCTACGACGTTTTGTGGAGTATCCTTTAATAAACTCTCAGAACCATTTGATATGCACTTTTTCAGCTTAGCGATCAAAGTTGCTCGAGTTGATTCTAATTTTCACACTAATGTAAGCCAAAGACTTACCTGTCACTGGTGGAACAACATCTAAATATCTAGACAAAGCTGACCGCAGTTCATCATCGCTGATATTTTCCATCCTGACCCCAACGAGCACCACTCGACCTACAGTTTTAAAAGCTTGACTAAAACTGTAGACTTAAACACCAAGAGTTAGGTGGTCGTTCTGAGCAAAATAATAGGCGCTCTTGAAATTTTGTTACTTTCCAAATCGTGTTTCGCTAAAAGTAATGTAGCTACAAGTATGGTAATTACAACAATCTGAATTTTCACTGTGAATACATTTTGAACTGTCAAAGGGGAGTCCGTTGTTGTCCTCTCAACCTTGAAGTCGAGTCGGATCATCCTGAAGTGCCGGCTTATCATCTCAGTCGCTAATGTCTCTCAAAAGTTTCACATCATCAGCGAAAAGTAAAAAAATCGGGCTATACTTGCTGAAAGTCATTTATACAAATTAAGAAATGAGGAAGTCCTAGTGCCGAACTGTGGGGGACTCCACTAGTACATTCCGTAGCCCGAGAAAAAGTGAAGCTCACCCTGATCTTAGAAAGTCGTTTTTTTCTATATGGAGTGGGCCGGTCGGTTTATGGTGACTTGATACCAAAGCGTTTGAGTTTATTGATAGGACAAATAGGATCGGTCCTATCATGGTATATGACGTCAGCTTTTTCTGACCCAAGTCATTACCTGGAATTCATCTGTCAACTGTCGTCCGTGCACGACTTTGCATTGCACTCCGTCGTATGAGTTCCGGATAGTGTTAACGATCTTATCAGGAACTCCACATTGTTGAAGTTTTCATAATGTTCTCATATACACACTGTCAAACGCCTCATAATCAAGGAAATTGATGTATAGTGACCAGTTCCATTCAATTGGTTGTTCGACAATGATCCGTAGTGTCGCAATTTAGTCTGAGAGTAGTGTGATGGCCCTATAGTGCTCACATTGGCTCAAGTCTCCTTTCTTTGGTACTTTGATGAGGCGTCTTTGTTTCCAGCCCGTCGGCGCTTGTTCTTCCTCCTATTTCTTCCTGAATAGTACGTGTAGTATGTTTGGCTTCAATGATTCAGCTGGTATATTGTCAGATCCTACTGCTTTCCCACTGTTGATTTGTCTGATGGTCATCTTGATTTCTTCGATCACTGTTCGAGCGACATCTATGAGAAGGTTTCTGCGTGCTGGTTTGATGTGTGGTGTATTCAATAGAGCTGGTCTATTCTTTAGTTCCTCGAAGTATTCTACCCACCTGTCCCTCTGTTCTTGAATCTCAATGGCTGTCTTTCCTTCTTTGTCCTTGTCTGGTCTCTCTTGTCTATTATATCTACCGGCTAGTTTCTTCGTTACATCATATGGTTATTTCATATTTACTTCTCTTGCAGCTCTTTCCGCCGTCGTTGCTGGTTCTTCATCGTATTTCTCCCTGTCTGCTTTAATGCTCTTCATCACTTGCTTGTTTGCTCATGTGTATTCGGACTTTGCGTTAACTTTCTCTGTTCTTGCTCGGCTGTTGTTAATTGCTATCTTCTTGTTCTTCCTTTCTTGAATCTTGTCTAGGTTCCATACAGAGCACCATACTTTATGATGATGGCCCAGAACATCCTGACACGTTGAAGTTAATGCTTCATTGATCACTTTCTATTTATCCTCCATGGTAGATTCTTTTTTCAGTAGACCTTGTAAGGCTTGGAACTACCTTGAATTCGTTGAGATCGTCAATATGTCAAAGGAAGGTTGTACTGAACTTTTTTAATGCTGCCCCCCTAGTTGTTCAATGTTTCTTTAGCTTCACTTTAATCTTGGCCACAACCAGGTGATGATCTGAAGCTCTGTCAGCTCCTCTTCCGGTTCTCACATCTTCCATTGTCCTTCGGAATTTTTTATTGATGCAAATGTGATCTATCTGGTTCTCTGTAGTGTGGTCCGTGGAGATCCATGTGGCTTTGTATATGCGTTTTCGTGGGGTAATTGTGCCGCGTATAGACATTTTGTTGAGTGTACATCGATTTGCAAACCTCTACCCAATTTCGTTGCTCTGTCTCAGTCAATCCATGTCGTCCCGTGATATCTTCATATCCGATGTTATCTATTCCGACTTTGGCGTTTAGATCTCCCATCAGAATGGTGATGTCCTTTCTTGAGCACTTCTCTATGATTGATTGCAGTCGCTCGTAGAATTGATCTTTAACGTCGTCGTTGCTATCATTGGTGGGTGCATAACATTGGATAATATTCATTGTGATCCCCTTCTTCTTTATTTTGAATGATGCTTTGATGATTCTGGATCCGTAAGATTCCCATCATCTAAGTGCATTTCGTGCTTCTTTAGACAGCATCAAAGAAACTCCCTGAGTGTACGGAGCATTTTCCGCTTCGGGACAGGAGTATAGCAGAATCTCTCCCGTTTCTAACCTTTGTTCTCCAGCTCGGACCCAACGGGTTTCGCTGATTCCGCGTACTGCCAAACTGTATATCATCAGTTCCCCTGCTATCTGACTGGTCTTCCCCGTTTCTTTCATTGTTCGGATGTTCTATGTACCTATAAGAATTGTTGCATTGGTTGTTACAAGGGGCATCGGCCTCGTGACTTCCGAAGAATCTCGGCTTTCATCCCGAGGCGTCATAGTTCTTCCTTCAACTTCCAGGGCGGAGTTTAAATGTTTTAATTTGTTTAACCAAGTTGGCGCTTTTTAGCAAGATTTTTTCTACGGGATGGGGTTGCCGACCTCATACTCAACTCTCCCCCTTTACCAGAGCTTAGGACCGGCAGTAACTCAAGAAGAGCTATAGCAACCGTAAACGCTCAAAGTTATTTTTTAACTTGTTGATATATCTAAATGAACATTCTATCATATATTTTCACTGATTTTATCTACTAAGGAATTCCTCCTGGGTAACATCTTATATCTAATCCCATGCAAATTATTGTTCATGCTAGCAAAACTGGAATGTGCCTGACATTTCAGAAGTATATTATTATTGTGCTCGTAGTGTTATTCAATATCCTATATAATATTATGTATGTTACATATTATTATATATTATTATATTATATATATATATATATTATATATGTATATATTATATTATACTATATTATTACGTATTTCATATGTATATCCCTTTTACCATTAGATTTCGATTAATTCATTAATTACTGTTATATTATTAACTATTCTTAGCCTCTTGCTAGTTTATTATTCATAGTCTCTCCTACTCACAACCATTTTTGGCTTATTCATGTATAATTCTTCTGGTTGTACGTCGTAATACGGTCCGGTATGTCCGTATATAAGTTACGTATGTCTGAGACATGATATTTATATGCTGAAGGCTGATTTTTATATCCACAAGCAGAACAGACAGGAGTTAGAAACTCGTGAACTAGTAAGAACACAGATGTTGGCTCAAGGTTATTAGATATGAACAGATTTCAGTTGGTGTCTTTGCCATGTGATATTGGTCAGCAGCCATAAATCGTAACAAGTCATGTGGTTAACAACCAATTATTCTACAACAGCCCTCTCTGATGAGGGCTGTTGAGGGACGGGCCGACAATCACTATAATTCTATAGGTGCTGAGGGGGATTCTCAGGTGCTACTCACTGGTAACTTCAACTGTCGTCTAAATCGTTCTCATTCCTCAACTTCCAGAAGGAATGTAATACGAAGCATACATCTACATAAACAAAAGCAGTCTTTTACCACTTAAATTCAGATCTCATGGAACAAGTGGTTCACTGACATTACATGAGAGTTTCAAGTTTGAGTCATGCATGCTGTCTTTCTCAAGTCATCTATTTGATTTATAATATTCTTGAGCCTTGGTGGATTAGGTACATTTATTGAAACAAAGTGACGTCTGGTATCACACACGTGAGTGACTTCATTTCCTAACTAGTCATTCAAAATACACTGGAAATGACCACCGAACTTATTTTACGTTCTCAATGACATTATGTGCCGGGGACATTTTACTCATGTTGCCCCGACAGGCTTTCAAGTGGGTTAAGACTTGTAAAAATGTTTATTGTGTTGATTACTACACCCACTCTAAGCTTCCCATACTAGTTTAACGCGTCATTGGTCAAGGTTATGTAAGTCGTATTCTGATTGACGACCTTATCACACGATGATTAACAGGACAAGTTATAACAATTGGCGACGTGGATTTCGAGAAATAATTCATAATAATTGCCAGAGGTTTTTAGAGTTAGTGACAGTAAAAAGAAAAAAAATCGGAACTCTATTGTGAACAATCGCAATTACTATTACAGCAGCAAACGTCAGCTTTTCAACAGCAATTGCTTGAAGCAGTCTTGGGTGAACTTTCCAGATATTCCAGAAAATAAATAATTTATTTTTATGCCGAGAGTTGTTCAGTAGTGGTCATTCCAAAAACATGCACTGTTGTGGGTTCACACCCAGTTGTGTACGAAACAAGATGTCCAGCTCATAGCAAGGTGATGGTTTGTTAAATGTACATGAGATTGTGGCAGTACCGAAGGACAATGAAACAACAGATTCTTCAAATGAAGCTCTTAGCCCAGAAACAAATGAAGAGTTATTAGCCTTGCATGAATCTCAACTTAATCTTCAACATTTTGGATCATCCTTTTAATTATAATTGACTGAATTCGACCAGTTTTGGTTGGTTATGCAGATAATGCACAAGACTTTCGGAACGAAAGGCACTGGATTAAAACTTTAGGATGCAGGTAATTTCATCTGACGATTCTTAAATGAGACGAAAGGCATTTCCTGGACCACAGTTCTAGCAACATCTCATAAGTTCTATGTGTCTGATGTCTCTTCTTCAGATTGATGCTAACATGAGGTAGTGATATGAGACACGGACTACTAAATATGTGATTTCATTTCCCCTTCATTGATTTTGACTTCGAACTCACTGAGAGTGACTGCTTGTAATTGTGTTGAATAAAATATTATCTAGTATATACTATGGTTCTCTATTCTGAGTTATGAATCCCAGGTTTGATATAACGTGACTAGTCATATTATCGTATTAACGTATTATCCGAAGTACACGTGAAAGTGAGAAAAATATTTCAAACAATCGATCATATCACTTATACAGTAATTTCAATGAATATAATTGCTACTTTTCAAGACAAAAAAGCTTTCTAGTGAAGAATAAACTTTTCATCTTATGTACCGTTGAATTATTGACCAGTGTAAGGTTATTAAATCCACTTTTCTAAGTTACACCAGTTTTCGTAATAGTGCCATCATTTCGAATGAGATGAAAAAAATCACCTATGCATATCTATGTGTTTGAGTACATTTAGTAAGAAAATTATTCAATATGAGATTAATCATCATTATTAGTAATAACATCGAAATAGAGAAAATAAAACAAATGAAAACCAAAAGAACAAATGAACATTGAATAGAAAACAAAAAAAAGGAAAGAGCAAACAGCAACAACAACAATAACATAAAGTGTTAGAAAACAAGAGAAGACTCAATTTTCTTTTTGTTGTTGTTGTATATTCATATTTCGTCTTCTGATGATTAATAATACTGTTATTGTTGTCATCAGTATTGTTTGCTATCATTATCTTCTCTTTCCTTTACTTTATACTGGAAACTATGCGTAATGGAAGAGTTTAAAGTGAAGTCAAGGATTATTTCTTCATTTATTGATCTAAAATGTCTTTATGATGATTAGTGAATGGTGTACTTTGTTGTAGCATAGTTTGATGTAATTCACCAGAATGATTATTATTATTATTATTATTACTAGCAGTATTAGTAACCGACGAGGTATTACATTCATTATTCTTATTGTATACTCTTGTCGATCCATTGGATAATTCTACATAAGAAAAGGAAATAATGTATTATAAAATGGAAATCGAAAATAAATTGTAGTGAGATGTATGGCTTTATGAAACCGTTGAGTAATAGAACACAACAGTTCAACCGCTAACTTGAGTTCTCTATGAAGATTGTTTACTTTATAGAGAGTAAACAAAAGTGTTGATCTGTCTAACAGATTAGTTTTTATTAGATTTTTCAAGTCATTTTTGTAATATTCTAGCGAAGATTACAATACGAGTAACTTCTGAGACCAACTGATGGACTAATATTATATATATATATATATATATATATATATATATATATATATATATATATATATATAACTCAGTATGTCTGAAATAAATGATTCTCATAGGAGAGTCTGTTATTAGCGTTCTGGACTCAACTGGACGGGCTAGGCGAGCAACGGACCAATAGGACACTAGGCTGATCACACCGGGCGAACGTCATTGGTTTACTGCGGTACAAGAGCGAATTAGTCGTATTTTGATTGGTGAATAAATTACGTAACAAGTAGCGGCCCATAAAGTCACAATAATTTCGCATATAAATCTGTTTGTATTTGAGTATATAAAGTCAAGACAACTTGCTTTATGTCTAAATTAAGTGTCATGGAATTGAAACTACATGTTATGAGTGGGTGAACTACAAAAGTTTCGATGTATACATATAAGTAGTATCTAAAGAGAATATAATCAGATTATTTCGTACAAATGATACTCGGTTGTCATGATAGTTAAAATATTAATCATGTTATATTCACTTATCAATACTTTGTTCGGTCACTCACATGTGCTTGAAATAATAGTAAAAGCTTGGATCAAGACTTCCCTTTTACGGACTCAAGGTTGAGAATTGGAAAGTGTGCGAATAGGCAAAGCTTAAATTATCTCAATGTCAACTGTATCAGTCAGGAAGTATAACCATTCAAGGTAAAGGACGCTAGAATATAAGCTGTAACAGCAAATGTGGGATAGGAAAATTATAATCTGGATTGTGATTAGAAAATTCAGTAGGTGATACCGACTAGCACTGAAGATAAAATAAAAACCTTTGGGCCACTGGTGAGGACATTGAATGTTCAATATAATTTAAAGAGAAATTAAGTACAACGTCAATTTATGATTAAAGGTGGTTTTCATATAAATTCACATTAATTTTCATTGTATTAAATAACCCAGTTTGATTCCCACTATTGAGATGCCAGGTGTTTGGAGGTAGCTGAAGAGAAACTCCACTTCAACAAGGTGTAGTGACCTACCTTTATCAAGAGAACGCGATTGGTTTAATGGAAACAATTATTATTATAACCAATTGTACCAGGGATTGTTTTACTGTACTTGTTTATTTGACTGTACTAAAGACATACTTTCCTCCGTTAATTGTGGCCTTGCACGGTTTGGGTTACGCTCAGTAACCAAACTTGTACTCTTTTGGCACGATCTCGGTATTCTTTCGATACCACGAGATCGCCAACAAATACATCTCGACTACAGCCATCAACTGCCTTCTGATATTTGGCTTACGGGAGATCTTATCGGTTAACTGGCACGTAGTCTTCCTGTAGTGCTGATCATAGTCAACCACGACTCGACACCACGCTACGAAGGGTTCATGTTAGTTATTACTTGTCGGCAAAGAGTACACGTAATCTCCAGGGAATCAGTGCTTCCTTTAGGGTTCGAACTCGTGTTAACCAGTTTCATAATATAAGACATTACCGCTGAGCGATTGACTGCTTTAAACTAGTGGCTAAATTATTACTTGATTGATAGAATTCGAGCAGCATCTAAAGGACTAGACAAACATTGTACATATCCCTATTTAGCGGTCAATCAATCTTGATTTCCAGTAACTTAGCAGTCTAGTAATCCAACTGTTCGATATTGAAGAAAGAGACTAATCTCCATACACGAAATGACTGTCATCGATATTTTGTATACTGAGTAAATTCAGAAAAGTGGATTTCCGAATTCTAACTGTACCATTGAATTAATTAATATGTTCATTTAAAGATCCTGAAGCTTTCAATCAATCAATAGAACAATAACGGTAGTGAAGATGAATAATGATTAGCAGTAGAATCCAGGACTCGCGTTTCATCCTATTTGAGACTCGTCAGCTAATCAGATTGCAGTGCTCAACATCAATGGGAAAATTCAAATAAGCAATACCAAGTGAATAATTGTAGTTGTTTCAAATGTAATTTCACTAAAAAAACAATACACATAGTAGAGCATTTAAGTAGTATTACAACAACAAATAATACAACTAAAATGATAAAAAAAAACACAGTACGAAACTTACTTATTAAAGAATTTTTATATGCAAATGAAGTTAATGGATCATCGAATGATTGTTTCAAATTACAAGTATTACTACTATTATTATTAGTAATTATATTCATTGATGATAATGATAATAATGAAGATGTAGATGGAATTTCTTCTGCTTCTAATAAATTAGTCATATCTGTATCATTACGATGAAAATATTGATGTAGAACACCGCTGTTCCCTTTTTTGAATGTTGGAATTGAAATAGACTTTTTTGGTATAATCACTGTATTATTATTATTATTATTATTACTATTGGGATCTGATAAATGAGGAATATCCTTATTATTATTACTACTCATTTGAGTAGTTTTTATTTGTTTATGGAATATTTTTGGTTGTATACAATTGATTTTAAGTAGATTTGAATTCATAGTTTGTTTATGCATTGATGAATTAGTGGTAGATGTAGGTGGCCATAAAATAGTTCGACTATCATTATAAGTTGAAGACATTCTATCTGTATTATTCCAACCATCGATATTATTATTATTATTGTTTATAAATCCAGTGAAATTATTTCTTTTCCATGGTATAAACCAATTATGTAAACGATTTAATGCATTACTTGTATTCACTTTAAAATGTCTACTATCAAAACTATAATTTGATGCATTGTTTATCATTCTATGATTATTTGATTTAATCCATAAAATAAGTAGTATCATTACACCAAGTATAAGTAGAATAATGGAAATAATTGTTGCAGATGAATTACGTGTAATTGACTGAATAAAAAGTAAAAAAATAATCATAAAATAAAACATATTATTATAGAATATAAGTATTGAAGTACAATGAGTTACTTATGTTAGTCAGTCAGTCAATCAGAAACAACATAGAACTTCGTGTGTACTTTCATCAGTTCGATTTGTCATACCAAATTAGCACACAGATACAATTGTCAATTCAAATCCCACAGTGGTAGAGGTAGTAAAAGCATAAGCAGTGATCGGAAACATTAGAGTTAGATGTTATTCAAAGAGTATAATACAGTGAAATAAATTTGGAAAGAGAGAAAAAAGAGACAAGGATGATTCAGGAGATTAGAATTTGGGAGAACACAAAGAGTGGATGCACCTGCGCCATGGCAAACGATTTTCGGTCATTTCATCCAGGGTCTCTAACCATCGCTTGCTATCATCTGGCGGTCCCCAACCAGGTAGTCTACATCTACCAACATTTCTCAGACCACTTGTCAGTGATTTCATGGATTTCTGCCATGTTTTGGTCTGGCCGCTCCTAGCTTTCTTCCAACCTACTCCTACACCATAAAACATCGCACGTCGGGGTAGTCGGTGGTTGGGCATACATAACACGTGTCCCAGCCATCTCAACTGATGAAGCTTCACTACTTCACCAATTCATTTGCCATCCTTGCCTAGTACTTGTTTCCTAACAACTGCACTACTTACTTGGTGGCCTCAGGATATAAGAGTAATGCTTCGAAGACACCTATGATCGAATACTAGTAACCTATGAATTTTCTCTATTTATGAACTTTCTTTAAGACATTTTCAAAACATTTCTGTCGTATATATTCTGATAATTAATATAGATAAGCACAAGCTTCATGTACTTGTATTAAAGGTGCAAAGTTTGTTTTTAAGGGTAAATGCTACTGATGTTAGTCGGTTGAAAGTAATCCACCGGAAACCTTCTCTGTCTTAGTTTTCGTTCTAATTGCCAGTTGTCTTGTTGGAACTGATGATCCCTGCCTAATTCAATACTGTATCATAAAGCTTAACAATCTAAGTCATTCCTATTTGAACAGAGACTGACCTCCAGTAGGAATGAGATGTATTCACAATTGATTTATCAGTGAGTGCTGACCAATGTTATACTTATTTAATCCTTAGTGCTGATCAAATTCTACCATCCGAATTTCAATGTAGACACTCGTCTAAGTGACTAGATGTCCCGTCAATTAGCCTTGATGTTAAGTGGTTGAAGATAGTCGACAAAAGATCCTGCATCTAGGTTTAGTGCTAGCTAAAACTTGTCAGAAATGTCTACCTACAGTGATACTATGGTACTATAATAAATATGAATAAAATGTTACTTGATCAACATAAGCCATATTAATTTACAAACGATTCAATGCAACTGACTGACTAAATACATATACATATATACATATATATAAGTTCACTAAAGGTGAATTTATAGTGTAAACACTTCAAAGAGAGAATACGGGATGTAACGAAGTGTTAAAGTATGGTGACCTTTTAAACCTCCAGAGCTACGTTCATGTTTCAACTTTGTAAACATTTGATACAATGACCATGGACCCAATAAATTGAAAAACAGATATGTTAAACCAATTTTTTCCAAGTGCCTATGACATGCAAGGAGTTAAGTATGCTTAATTTTATGGTACTGTAAATATGTGTTCACATAGTAAGTTATTGAATAATTGACATTAAATACGATGGAGTTCAGTGTATATGAATCTAACTGTAAATAAATCATCAGCAATGTAATTTAATAGTTGAATTGATGAGTCCACTAAAGCTAAACCAACATGGAGAACCTGGAAACACTTTCGTACTAGTATGGGACTTCTTAGCAGTGCACATCCACGACCCCAGTCATGAGATTCGAACCAAGGGCCTATCGGTCTTCGCTGTAAACCAATGAGTTGACATCCAACGGTGTTAATGTCTAACTTCAACGAATCCATGAAATGTAGTTTATTCATATATTATTTTTAGGGTTATATAAATCCTTATCCATCGTCTTCGTGTTTTTACTTGTGTCATTCAATTCACGGATCCCGTTACCAAGAACCAAGTCAATTGAGCGTTTGTTTAGCAGACATAGTAATATTTTAATAAATTATTCTGTTTTAGCAAAATAATTACATGCATTGTAGTGTTATTTATACGGATGGAAATAGGTAGTATATATCAATAATTAAAAGCAGGAATCTTCATGACATAAGAGAAAAAAAAAGAGGAAAGCAGTGCAAGTACCAATAGGAATGAAAGAACGACAAAACTTGTAAGAAACAATTTAATAAAGATATACAAATGGGGCATTCTATGTATTGTTTATATATTTTACAAATACAGAATACGATTTCGCTTTGAAGTATTAATAGAATATACTGACATGCTTTTATAAAAATCCTAGAATTTATCATCAGCGGAATCACTACGATAGTTCAGCAATTTTCCTCCTAACCGGATTAAACACATATAACGAGCGATGAAAATAAGCGGAATCCATTGGGAATGTTTAAGATTGACAAGATGAATGAGAATTAATCAGAGCTGGGAAATTTTAAAAAAGTATTTTTTGAGATAGTGGAAAGGATTTGTAGCTGAGGTGGATGGTTTGGTCGTGGAGCTTTCATCGTTCTTCTGAACAACATCACCAGCACATGTGCTGATATATATTTATATTTCTCACACTTTTTAAATATTCAGAAGTTAAGTGGCAAGAAGTATAGGATTTGTTTTAATGTGTTACGTATATATTTTGCAATTTATAATTAAGAAAAACCAGTATTGAATAAAGGGATGATTAATAATTGTTTTATTTTGCGAGCAGCTGCGGTAATTTCAAATTATGAATGAAGAGATGTCTTATGATTAGAGTGGGATCTACGCGAGTAAAACAAACTGGAAGATTAACGCAGAATAATAACAATAATAATACAATCTCCACAAATCCCTATACTAATAATAATCATATGCTCACTGATAACGAACTTTAAGATGGATTTCCTTAAGATCTAGTGACAAGCCATGACCAGTGGAGTCCAACCTTTATCGGATGTGAGCGAGTTATCCACCTCAGACAAGGGATGAAGGGTTGTGCAAGATCACAGATCGATCGAAGTTAGACATTAAGATAGGGAACTAGAGGTTGAGTGTTCGCGCGCCAGGTTGAAGGTCCTTGGTTCGAACCCCACACGTGGGAGTAAGGATGCGCACTGTTGATGAGTCTCATACTGAGGCGAAGCGACCATTCAGTGCTTTCAGGTTTTTAATAGTCAGTTAGCTACAACGTAGGACCAGGTACATATATACATCGGTCCAACTTGCCATACCACATTAGCACAACAACATGAACACCGGATTCATAGCAGTGGTTAATTCAATGGTGGTAATATATAAAAAAAAGATTGCATATAAGGATATATATAGTCCAGGAAGAGAGAATTAGTTCGTAGAAAGAAAGATATGAAGCGATTTTAATCTCATAGTTTATGGGGAAGAGAGAGAGTGTATACACCGACGCCATTCTGATCGATTCTGAGCCATGTCACCAAGAGTCTCCAACCACCGGTTACGATAGTCACGCGGACCCCACCCAAGTAGTCTAGATCTACCAACACGGCTCAGGCTAGGAGTTAGTGACTTCAATGACTGATGCCACATTTTGGTTTGGCCGCCCTAACTTTCTTCCAATCATCCCCAACACCGGTTAGCTTTGAACGTCGTGGTGATCGGTGTTCAGGCATAAACAACGTATGGCCCAACCATCTCAGTCGATGAAGATGCACAACCTCATCAACTGATTGAGCATAGTTCTTCAATAGCCTGAGTCTAACCTCACTTTTACTTATCCGGTGATCCCACAAGATGTCAGCAATATTTCTAAGGCATCTGCTTTTAATGGTGGTCTGGGTTAGATTGACTCATGAATTCAACTTTGAAAATATTACAATCTCTACAAATCCCCAAATGTATAACAATAATATTAATAATAATAAATCCTCATAGAATTGTTAGAAATGAGACAAAATTAAAAAAAGTATTCCAGGAAGCCCGAATTTCAGTAGAACAACTTTACTTACGTAAAAACAGCTATAATCTTAAGATGTATAACTAGCTAAAGGGGAAAGTAACCAATTAGATAATAGCTAATTTGACTGAAACATTGTTTATTCGTTAGAAGTATAACAATAGGAAAAGGGTCAAATCATTTGAAGCTTTCCTCGCAAAATAATAATTATTATTGAAATAAGTAACTTGAGTGGATAAAAATTCAATTGTTAAACATACGTTCGATACCAGTGAATGAGTATAAGAACCAATCAACATCGAGGTGCACAGAACAAGCTTTGAAACACATATGGAGAAATTCAAACGCTTCACTTCTATTTGAAGTTTGTGCTGATGATGTCGTTCAGAAGGACGATGAAAGCTCCACGACCAAACCATCCAGCTCAGAGAACAAAACTCCACCAAAATCATCCACCTGAGCTACAAATCTTCTCCACCATGAGTATTTCCTGATTATAAATTAACTCACTTTACTACTTCGGTGGCTTATGCCCCATTGGGAGTAACAGGCTTAAGTAAGTAAGTACTACTGACTAAGCTTTGATAATGGAAAACAAAATTTTCTTGAAAATAATCAATTAGAAACTGAAAAAAAGACTTACAGAATTATCATCATCATCAGCATTATCGTATGGACATGATTTGATTAAATCTAAAATAGTTTGATTCCATACTGGAGGCTGCCAACCGCCAATACAACGATCACCTGGTATTAAACGATAACCTAATTGATGAATAGTTTGACGTTGTTTTCTTGGTAATGTACAAGGATCTAATGGTGGAATATACGGATTTCGAATACAATTTAATGATCCCGGTTGACGATAAAATCCGTATTCACTAGGCAAAACAAAAGATATATATATATATATATATATATATATATATATGTTGGAAAAGTAAAACCGAACAAACTTTTAAAGTTTCTTTTTAGACTAAGGGTCATAGCTCAAACAGGCATTGAAAACATGGGAACGCTGAGTAGTTGTTTCGTCCTAGTTTTAAAAAAATCCATTTAATAATAGTATTCTCTGTTGTAATAAGAATATAAACTTTAGACTAAACGATATCTACATCACAGTAGCAATTAAAATTTAATATATTTGGATTGTGGTCTAGTGGTTAAGTGCTTGTGCGTGAGACTGACAGGCCCTGGGTTCGAATCCTGCGAGTCGGGATCGTGAATGCGCATTGTCGAAGAGTCCCACAATGGGACGAAACGGCCATCCAGCGCTTCCAGGTTTTCCATGGTGGTCTTACTTCAATTGACTCATGATCTCAACCATTGAAATTACTACAATTTTCACAAAACCCCCTTCTGATATTTGAATTGTAGCTAGCGCTAGAATTCAGAATTTGTATTTTTTCCTAATTAAAGTTAGTCAACTGGAGAGATTGAAAAAATTTCAACCGTTAATAATTAATCTGATTATCATTGTTATGCCCCGATAGGCATAATGAATGGTAACCTTGGGATCCATTTATGGACCAATACTATGCGTACATTTTTATCGTCTAATTGTTAAATAACTAAACTATGAATACTCATGTCCCTCTTATTCTGAGCTTCATTTTGACCTATGAACTATTATTATACGATTTACCATTCTTGAGTTATACTTACTTACTTACTTACGCCTGGTACTCCTCGTGAAGGAGCATAGGCCACTCACCAGCATTCTCCATCCAACCCTGTTCTGGGCAATCCTTTCTAGCTCCGTCTAGTTGTAATTCATCCTTTTCATATCTGCTTCTATAATCCGACGCAATGTGTTCTTTGGCCTTCCTCTTTTTCGCCTCCCTTCAGGGTTCCAAGTTAGAGCTTGCCTCGTGATGCAGTTTGACGGTTTGCGTAATGTATGTCCTATCCATTTCCATCGTCTTTTCCTAATTTCTTCTTCAGCTGGAAGTTGCTTTGTTCTCTCCCACAGAAGGCTATTGCTGATGGTATCCGGCCAGTGGATGTTGAGTATCTTGCGTAGGCAGCTATTTATAAATACTTGTACTTTCTTGATGGTGGTTGTTGTAGTTCTCCAAGTTTCAGCTCCATACAGTAGAACTGCCTTGACGTTCGTATTGAAGATTCTCACTTTGATATTGGTTGAAAGTTGTTTTGAGTTCCATATGTTCTTTAATTGTAGGAATGCGACCCTTGCTTTGCCGATCCTCGCCTTTACGTCTGCATCTGAACCTCCTTGTTCATCGATGATGCTTCCTAGGTATGTGAAGGACTCTACATCTTCCAGAGTTTCGCCATCAAGAGTGATTTGATTGCTGTTCTGCGTGTTGAATTTGAGGACCTTGGTTTTCCCTTTGTGTATGCTGAGGCCTACTGATGCAGAGACTGCTGCTACACTGGCTGTCTTCATCTGCATCTGTTCGTGTGTACGTGATAGGAGGGCTAGGTCGTCTGCGAAGTCCAAATCGTCTAATTGATTCTGAGTTGTCCATTGTATTCCATGTTTTCTTTCAGATGTCGAGGTCTTCATAATCCAGTCGACCACCAGAAGAAAGAGGAAGGGAGAGAGTAAACAGCCTTGTCTGACTCCAGTCCTGAGTTATACCCTGCCTATTAATTACTATCTCCCTCATTCACAGCCACATATATCTTGTATAAATGTTATTTCCCATTTTATGGTACGATGTGGTCTGTATGGTTGGTATATAAACCCAGTGTGTTTGAAATAAATGATTTATATCACAGAGGCTAGGATTGGTGTTTCGGACTCAACTGGCTGGGCTAGGCAGAAAGCAGGGACCAATCAGGACTCTAGACTGCTTGCACGGGTTTATGCGTCATTGGTCCGATCGAGAATTCACTACTCCCTAACTGGCAGTATCTTTACGTTATACAATAAACAGGGCACACAGGCTACAAGTTATAACACATGTAGAATGTTTCCTGTGAAAAATAAAATCATTCATTAATTTTTATGCATAGAATTTTAGAGGCTGGTTGATCTTGTTACATTCAAATGAAGAATAATGTTAACTGCTAGGGTTTATTTATGGATTATCGTTACATATATCCTTATTAGATAATTATTAAGTAACTAGATTATGTATATGTATATATATATATTCATGTTCCTTCCATTTGACATATTGGATACCGTTATACGATTTACCATTATGGATTTATTCCCAATCTATTAGCTACAGTCTTCCATACTCAAAGAATTTTGGCTTAATCTTGTATAATTGTTATTTTACGTTTTATGGTGTAATGTGGTCTGGTCTGTTTGTATATAAATGTACGATTCACATAGTGGAAGCTGATATTTGTGTTGTGGATTGAACAGTCTAGGCTTGGAGGGAAATTGCCAATGAGAATTCAGAGCTGTCTCAAGGGTACTAGTTCTGGTTGACATGGGATTAACTTAGCATAAAAACAAAGTCATAGAATTCGGTGTTCTGGTTGGCGATTTTGTCACGTGATAATTGATGGGAGCAAAAATTATAAACAGATCTAACTCCAGTTTGAATGAATGAAAGGAATATGCCATGGACATAATTCACCCATTTTAACTCGGTATACTACATTTAACCTAACCCTATTTGTACAATGGTGGTAACAAGAAGCCAAACACAAGTTGTGTTAGGTATTTGTTTATCTAAACAGACATAAAAAAGAATGAGAAACAGGAAATCAAAACATAACAGAATGGATAAGGCAAGCAAGTCAACTCTATCTGATAGAGAATGTGACTCATTATTTATAGCCAGACAAAAACAAGATGATAAATGGTGAATAGGAAAAGTAATACACTCAAATAGAACAGTGAAGGTTATAAGTGAGTAACTGACATGGCCAAAATGTGACTCATGATGAACAAATAAATTACCCTTTTTGGATGCTAGAATAACCTATGTAGGCTTGAAATAATGCTAGTCACTGAATGAATGAAGGAAATGCGATAGAATGCAACATTTTAAGTAAACCACACTATCAATCTATATATACCTTCCCAGATTGTGAGAAGAGATTCACCTACAAAGATGACTGTCAGCGCAAATGCAAAAAAGAAATGAAAACAACAAATTACAAACAAAGCCATTAGAATGAACTAACATAGGACTTATAGAATAACTGGAAAGTTTACTTCTATATAAACTAAGCGTTGAAAATGTTGTTAATATTAACATTGAAAAATCCGTAATTAAATAATTGAATTCAAGGAACACATCACCACTACAATAAATAGAAAGATTTTGTAAAATAATATGGAACATTCATAGCTTAGGTAAATACATTTTTTTGTGGTTTCGTATTCTATAAGTTGCGTGGTTCAATTGTGAAGTTTCTATTAACTGCTCTAGACAACATCTGTCAGAATTTCTTATTTCACAAGTGCTGAATGAATGCATAAAAACACTCAGCACAATACCACTGAGCTAGTAGTTACTGGGAAAGGGCCTTAGTCACTATGTAGTACTGAAGAGTATCAGACCAAAAAGAAACAATTCAATAACTGATAACAACTGGGGGAATCACTATGGCATTATAATTTAAGCTTGTTAAAGGCGTGTTTTTTCACGCCAAAGTCAGTCTGTCAGTAACAACGTAGAACTTCGTATTTACGTAAATCAGTTCGAGCTGCCAGACCACATTAACACAGAGATACAATTGTCAATTCAAATCCCACAGTGGTAGAGGTAGTAAAAGTATATGCAGTAATCGAAAAGATTAGGGTTCGAAGATGTTATTCAGGGAGTATAATACAGTGAAATAAATCTGAAAAGAGAAAAAATAAGGGACATGAAGAATTCACGCCAAAACATGCTACAGGAACAGAATTTCAATTTTGTAACGTTCAGAGGTTCTGTGTTCTTCGAGTTCATATCTCCTTTTGTACGGTAAATATATTTCTTACTGTTGAGACCATTGAAAAAGCACTTTTATGTGTGCGTTATTTGCTTAGATCGATCAACACTGATTTCTGTCACTTAGTCCTATTTTAAAATAGCCAGGGTAAGAAAAGGAAAAGTAGTTGTGATGCGTTATGTGCTACTTATATTGATGTAAGTAGTATATGATGTTAGTCGTAAACAGAAGGTCTGACAGCAGAGAGACAAGAGGATTGAACAGTAAAGAGTGGAAACAGGATGTAATTTGCATGAAAATACAAGAACAATGAAGTCTGAGTCATTTTGAGACAATTGATGGACATTTTGCGAATTACGTATTTACTATTTGATTGTTAGATGTTATTAAAAAGTCCTGTAATTTTGTGTCAAATACATTCGACTGTCCCCATTGGTGTTCTGTTCACTACAGTGATATTTAGATATCGAAGTTAGTCGTTATTAGTATCAGTTTCAATTACATCATAGTGAGAAATAATGTACTGGGGGAGGGGAGTGGACGGAGCGAATGCAACCATTGTTGATTCGTGTGTTGATGAACCAATTTTGTTCACATTATCATCGTACTAAATAGACTACTAAAATATACATATATTAGCAAGAATGACCGTAATATATTCGATAATCATAGGGATGGTAGTAATAACATTAGTATATATATAGTACATGTAAAGTATACTATGCATAAATACATAATGTAGTTAGTATTTAGAAGCTTTTAAAATTGATATGTCAATCATTTCATCAAATATTTTTTTCTTAGTAAGAATTATATTAGTTTATTATTACTGAAACTGAGTGACATATTGTTAGTTACATGTTTTCAGTAACATATACAACTAAGGGAATTTGATTAACTGTTTTAAGGAGACAATTATATAATATAGGTACTTGTTAAGACTATATTGGAGTCTGGTACTTTTAAGTCATTTGCACTTGAAACTACATACAATGTTATAATTGAAGGCATAGAGAGTTCAAAGGCGATAAGGTAAATAAATTTTAATTATTGAATAAGGCTTAAGACTTCTTTAAAAGTTAATGCGTGTGATTATTTTCCTTAATGTTTATGGCCTCGCAGGATCCGAACCCAGGGCCTTCAGTCTCGTGCGCAAACGTTTAGCCTACTAGACCACTGAGACGGCATGGTGTTAATGTCTAACCTCAACCAATCTATGATACTGCTCAACCATTTTCCATTGTAAGTAATGTTAGTAATTTAAACCTATTCTATAACTGTCAGTTTTAAATATTACAGGTTGTAAGCAGTTGACAGGAATCAAATCAAATCACATGACTTACGTACCATTCTTACTTACGCCTGTTACTCCCAATCGAGCATAGGCCGATGACCACCATTCTACAACCCACTCTGTCCTCGGCCTTCTTTTCTAGTCCCATCCAATTCTTGTTCATTTTTCTCATATCTGTCTCCATTTCTCGACGTAATCTGTCCTTTGGTCTTCTTCTTTTCCTTTGGCCTTGAAGATTTCAAGTGAGGGCTTGTCTTGTGACACAGTTCGGTGCTTTCCTCAATGCGTGACTTAACCAAGTGCAACGCTTCTTTCTGATTTCTTCCTACACTGGGATCTCGATTTGTTCTTTCCCATAGTAGGTTGTTGCTGATAATGTCTGACCACGGATCACAAGTATTTTGCGTAGACAACTGTTAATAAACACCTGTATTTTCTGGATGATGGCTTTCGTATTTCTCCAGGTTTCGCCCCATACAGTAAAACTGTCTTCACATTTGTATTGACAATTCTGACCTTGGTGTTGGTTGACAATTATTTTGAGTTCCAGATGTTCTGCAGTTGTAAATATGCTGCTCTTGCTTTGTCGATCCGCGCCTTCACATCTGCATCAGATTCACCGTGTTCATCAATGATGCTGTCACGTACTATTCTGCTAGAATCATTATTCTATCTCTCTTTAATTCTAGATAGCTTAAATAAGTATACGTACTCTAATATCATATTATCATTAATTATTTTTTCTCAACTTAAGCAACTAGCTTACAAAATGATGTATAAGTTTTTCTTTATTAAAGAAAAACAAAACAACAACTTATTTAACTTATCCATTTAACTCTTATTATTATTATCAAGATGATAGAAATTAGTTAAGTAGTTAGTTTCCAACATTAAATAACCATTCTTATTCACTAGTTTAGTGAGTACAATAAGGAGAGAGCTTTTAATAAGTTGATCTATTCGATTGTATAGTTTATTCAGTATTTCTAATTAACTAGATAATAATAATAATAGTAAAATGTGTAGACGACTCAAAGTATGATTAGAACTATTTATATGTAAAGATTAGAGTAGATCATTTAAGCATTGTCACAAAAAGAAAACAAATGTTTCGATTACCTAGATACAAGTGTTAACCAACAATTGTTTAAGCAAAATACTTCTGATCCGTTCGCCAGACACTATCAGCAATAACATATTGTGAGAGAGAACAAACCAGATTCCAGAGGAGGAAGAAATCAGAAAGAAGCACTGGAAGTGGACAGGACACACATTGAGGAAACCACCCAACTGCATCACAAGACAAGCCATCACATAGGATTCTCAAGGCCAAAGGAGGAGAGGAAGACCAAAGAACACATTACATCGAGAAATGGAGACAGACATAAGAAAAATGAACAAAAGTTGGATAGAACTGGAAAGGAAGGTCCAGGACAGAGTGGGTTGTAGAACGGTGGCCGGCGGCCTATGCTCCAATGGGAGTAACAGGCGTAAGTAAATAAGTAAGTAATCCTTTTGCATTGGGACTAGCAATAGTGATGTGTAATAGTAAGAGTGAAATATGATTGAACATTGTGGGTGGACAAACAATCACAGCTTATAGACTATTGAATTCGTGATTCCCTTTCTTATCATTGATTTCTAATCCAAACTCACTGAGTGTGACTGCTTGTAATTGTGTGGAGTAATGTATTATCTAGTCTATTTCATGACAATTTCATCTATAATTTGTTATCTATTCTTTAGTATTCAGTATCATGATGACACAGGTTAAGATTAAGTTCTGTGAAGTTTTCATCAGTTGAGGATGTACTAAATGTAAACAATGAATAAAAGCAAAGTCATTATGAGAATTAATCGAAATTGTGAATTATTGGATGGCTAGGTAGTATTGTTGTTGTGGAAAGATCGAATGATGATGATGATACCAAGGGTAATCTTGTGTGCGGGTTGTAAGTGAACATTGTTGAAAAGTTTCATCAGGTTATAAGTTGTTCATGATGGGAATTTACTTCAAATAATTCGTTGAATTCCTTGAGTAAAAGTAAATGTCTTGTGAGCTCATTTGAAATAAACTGTCAGCGAATTAACCCTAATAAAGTGACAACACTACAAGCTACTAACTGTAAGTGGAAAAATGACTTTATAAATGATTTGGATCAGTCTTTTCTTAAAAGAAAAGTGTATTAACGGCGAATAAGCATTGATTACTTACCACTCATAATCACTTTGAGTGCATGGACAAAATTCCACTTGTACACGCGTTTCCATTTCATATTCATTTGCACAACTAAAATGAAACAATGAAAAAGTTGGTGATGAAAAAAACGGTACATATAGAAAATAAGCAGTATAAGGTTGCGGAGATTGTTGAGTTTATATTGATGTTGTGAATAGATCAATGTTAGACCACCATTGAGAACTTGAAAGCACTAGACAGCCGTTTCGTCGTGGTATGGGACTCCTTAATAGTGTGCATCCAAGATCCCGCACGCGGGACTCAAATCCAGGAATTTCAGTCTCTCGCGCGAATACTTAACCTTTAGACCACTGAACGAACATCCAACGGTGTTAATGTATAACTTCAACCAATAGATAACATTGAGCAACCGTCCATACATCTTCGCTAAAAGTTGATCAATTCATCATTTCGTATAGAAATTAGTTATTTAGGTATAAAAAAATAATTCATCGGAACACACTCCTGAATTTTACATTATAATAATTTAATATTCGGTGATTATAACAAACATTGTCAAAACAGTTGAAACTATAACATAAAAAAAAGAGCGGATATTCTAAATCTGACATGAGGCTTTTTGAATTTGCACAACCTTTCATCATTATTACCATCATAGTCATTAAATAATGAGTTTGAATGATAACTTTAGCATATATATTACTAAAACTTCGCCTGGCAAACATTTGACGTAGATAATAATTCCTGTTTCATGAAAAGATTTTATCACTTTCATTTTAAGGTGTAATAAGTTACATTTAGAGTTCAAATAGAACAGGTCACAATTAATAATGAGAATTTGATGTTATGTGTTTCTAGGTAATCGGAAGGAATAACTACACTGAAGTTGTTATCTAATTGGCATGAAGTATTTTAAAGCATTGAAGCTATTTCATTATTTATAAATGAAATATAATTAAAACGAATGCTTTGAATAATTCATAAATCATAAACGAATAAATTGATTGAGGTAGAATAAACAAGGTTTATGAAAGATTAAGTATTATGATAATGATAGCTGAGCTATCATCATATCAAATCATAATTTACAAATCACAATTGACACTACTTATGAGTAATATATAAAATATGACAACAAAAAATAGGCAATCTAATGAAGCCATATTTCATTGATAAATGAATTAAGTAGATTTCAGGAATTTTATTTGAACTTGAGAAGAAACTAAATGTTACAAGAAGATTTGAGCTATGAAGTACTCAAATGGTATTTTAAATAATCGAGTCCCGTGAGGCGGGGTCATGGATGCGCACTGCTGAGGAGTCCCACAATAGGACGAAACGGCCGTCCAGTGTTTCAATGTTTTCCATGGTGGTCTAGCTTCAATTGTTTTATGATATCAACTGTCGAAATTACTCCAATCTCCACAAAACCCCTCCTGATACTAATTCAGTTATTATTCAGTGATTAATATCATTTTTAACACATTGTAATTATGTGATGTACGAATTAAAGTCATATCAATCTTCACAGGTTGAAATCATGAGTCAGTTGAAGCTAGACCACCACTGAAAACCTGGAAGCACTGGACGGCCGTTTTGTCCTGGCATGGGACTCAGCAGCGCGCATCCACGACCCCTCATCACGCGGGGCTCGAACCCAGGACCTACTGGCTTCGCGCGCGAGCACTTAACTATTAGACCACTGAGCCGGGTTCCAACGGAGTTAATGTCTAACTTCAACCAATCCACGAAATTGCGCCACCGTACACCATTGTCTTTAGTGAGTTGTTATCTCACAACAGACCTGGTTGTACTCCACTGGTAACGGCTTCCCACTAGAACTCCAGGAGTATCTCTTGAAGTCAGTCACTAGTGAGCAGATGATTATTATCAGAAGGGGTTTTGTGGAGAGTTCCGTGGTGCGGGATCGTGGATGCGCACTGCTGAGGAGTCCCATACCAGGTTTTCAATGGTGGTCTAGCTTCAACTGACTCATGATTTCAACCTGTGAAATTTCTAAAACTCTCCACAAAACCCATTCTGATCATATCAATCTTATTGACTATTTCCCGGAAGTATTTAATTAAGATTTGTAGATGAGTAAACATAATAATTGTCAACGTGTTACTTATTTTGTTGAACTTCCTTACTGGTCTATTTATGATCTGTAAACAATACTCATAATCAATAGTTCTAGACGTTGGTTGTTAACATGGTGTAATACCAATTACAGCTACACAGTTCACACTCAATTTTTATTTTCTTCACGTTCGCCTAACTCTTAAATTAAGCATCATTATCAAATTTTAATATGTATAAGATTTCTTTTTTATGGACTGCATTCTTTGTGTTAAGATCTACATGGTTTTCAATGTCTTTTGTCAACCTTTACTTCTCAATTTGTTAATTTACCATAGACTGTTCCAATTTGAGGTATTGATCATAACAGGCTTATACAGTTAATTTTCTGCAGACTTTGTATGACATGAAGATAAATTCTTCCACAGACTGACAGATACACGGCACTAAAGAGTCAACTTTACATCATATGAAATTCTCCAGCAGGGAATACTGAATACCCTATTATTATAGAGAAGAACTTGAGATAATTAAATGGCAGTGTGAGCTAAATACCGCTGTACTAATATTCAAACGAAATTCAATGATACTAGATTTTTAGTCAATATATTTGAAGTAACAATCACTGAAACAACCAACAGTTTAAAACACTTTTTCGAATAGTAGAAATCCAAATGAAAATTAATTACTACTACTAGAGAACACACACTATTCAAAGGTTAGTTAGTTAGATGAAAGCATTAAAAATTAAATTCCAGAGTAATAAGAGTTGGAGTACTATTAGTGGTAGTAAAAAAACACATTAAAGATAGACATTATAGTTCGAATAGAAAGAATGAACTAACAGAATAAAATGTATAAGATAGTTATAATATTCATGATCTAAGAGAAAACAAAAGGAGAATGTATCTGCATCATTGTGACCAGTTATGAACCAAGTTACTGAACGCCTTCAATCATATGTCAAAATTAATGACAAGAATAAAAAAGCCCAGATAGACTGGATCAATCAACAAAATTTACATATCAAAATCTAGTCATGAAACTGTTGTTAACACAAAGTGAATAAAAGAGAATATTTTTAGCTTGAATAATAAAACATAAAACTATACATATGCTTTGTTTATTCATTCAGTTAAGAACAATACACCAATGACTGACAATTCCTATTGGTATAAAATATATGGCCTGGGAATGAAAAATTTGCACGAAAAATATTAACCATTTTTATGTACAGCATAAATTTAAAAAAAAAAAATCAATCCAGTGATCAACTAACTAGATGATAATGAACTGATGGTAATCTTTCGTCAATTGGATCATAGATCGGTTAGTATAAATGCATCAGAGAGTCAGTCAGTCGGCTACAACGTAGGACCAGGCACATATATGCATCGGTCCAACTTGCAATACCACATTAGCACAACAAGATGAACAACAAATTCATAGAAGTAGTTAATTCAATAGTGGTAATAGATAAAAGAAAGATTGCAATAATGATATAGTACAGGAGCCATGTCACCTAGAGTCTCCAACTATCGGTTACGATAGTCACGCGGACCCCAACCAAGTAGTCTGCATCTATCAACATAGCTCAGACTAGAAGTTAGTGACTTCAATGACTGATACCACGTTTTGGTTTGGCCACTCCTAACTTTCTTCCAATCATCCCCAACACCGGTTAGCATTGCGCGTCGTGGTAATCGGTGTTCAGGCATACGTAACATGTGACCCAACCACCTCAGTCGATGAAGATGCACAACCTCATCAATTGATTAACCACCATTCCCTATTACCCTGAGTCCAACCTCAATGCATCAGGGAGCAAATGAATAATTTAAGTAAAACAAAGCTATTTGTTATTGACAAGTTATAACAACTAAGTTAAGAAGAGAGTAAGTTATTCAGCATTTTTTTCTTGAAAAAATATGTTAGTTCATTCTTCAAAGGACAACCGTGATGATATTTTATTTAATCATGTTTCTGTAATAACATTGGCTGCTGCCTAATAACTATGTTTGAAGAGATTACAAGATCACCGGAACGAAGGATCAGCGACACAAAGACAAAACAAGCAAAGCTATTCCGATTCGTCTCAACCATACTAACTACAGGCGGAACACCAGGTTAAAAATGAGGCAAAGGTATATTACACAAGCAAACAGAAGCACGAACAAAACAAGCATACAACTCAAGCGTATATACATATATATATAGCATACAAAGGTCCTATGGAAACGTCGCAAAATAGCGTAATAAAAGAGGCAACAAACCAATGACATTTAGGATCTTTCTACGCGGGAAATACGATCGGAAAGTAAAAATCGGAGCTTTTGGCGCGAAGACGTGAAATTCAAATTCGCAAAATAAAATTACAAAACAAGACGTTTACCAAATAATTTCTGAGGATCTGGCATCCCCAACAGTAATTGAGTATCATCGCTTGTAGTTTGTTAAATGTTTTTTGTGTTTAAAGTTCGTGCATATAACCATTAATAGAGGTATTCCTTTTTTGAAATTTTGATTTCTATTTGGATTATAAGTTTATCTTGTAAGCGCCATCGCGTTTATATCTATTAGTGTGGAGACTAATGACGTTGAAATGTTGTTACTTGAGAGACACTCGGTCTACTTAAGCCCCTGTTAGTTGCACCGTTTTAAAAGAATTCTCAATTATTCATAAATAAAAACTACCGTGAGTAGACCAGTAACCCAAACACAATACGCTAATCATTCATGTAAAGATTTAATAAACTGGTGGTATAATCACTGAAAACGGACAATCTATTCTAGCCCATTGATTCATATAGTCAATCAAAATTAAAGGATACAAGTTAATGTAGTCATTACGCCCAAAATGACCATAATGAACTATTAAACTGATGAATAATAGAAAATAATTAAAGTCAGTGTAATTCTAGATGCTAATTCTAGAATTTAACTTTATCTATGTATATGGATTCGAATACAATCCAATCATATTTTCTAACCGACCATAACTTTACGTTTAT